CAACAGCCATTAACCCAAACAGCAACAATTAAATTTACAGGCAGAGACAATTAGGCAGCAACGGTAATTAAACATAAGGAACTGTGAAGACATTTGTTACAGCTGACACTCCTCAAATGCGTCAGTTCAAACCAGATGACAAAGTATCCTCACCAGCAGAAGGACAAACTGTTTGACGACTTGCTAGTAAATTGCTCAAATCATATAATTCATCATTATTTAAAAAAACTGAGAAATGTATTAGTTTTCCATCACTTAATCCTTTCATGGGTGCTGCTGGTGGAGGTGGCCACAGCCTTATATGGCAGTCATTAACATAGCCACATACATATCTGCATGGTTATGGACTGTGGGAGGAAACCTGAACATAGAAGAGGAGAAGAATTAAAGTCCATACGGAAGGCCCATCACTGACCACCAGGGATCTAACTGATTTTTTAGCTGTGAAGCAACAGCACCAACCACTTTCTCATGTGCACCCCAGTTGTAAGAATGTGTTTGAAAAACAAGCTGCAAACCACTGATGTACTCGAGACTAGAAATGTGAAGTGCTAGAAATGTCCAAAGTATAAAAAGATGCCGTGCCCTGAAGTGTAGCTGAAGAACATAATACAAAAAGTAAATAGGCATAAAAGGTCCATTAAGTTTTCTGCGGATGCAAAGATGATGAAATCTTATATTTTATGTCATGTTCAGCAGAACCAGTGCCCAGCAGATCCAGTTACCTCTGCAGAGGCACAAGGAAACAAGGGATGAAGCTCTCAATCACAACAAAGTCAAGACACGTGGTACTAACAGCACAGCACACATTGTCCTGACAAAGACGGTATCCTGCAATGTGGATTATTGTTTCAGTTCTCAAAGAAAAAAGGTACCAAAACAGCTGGGTGCTGTTCCAAGTTATCAAGTATTTTTCCCATGTTCCTTAGCCAAACAAAGGGCCACGGATAAAAGCTATGAGTGTGTTAGGCCTGAGGGGTTGGCACTAGTGACTCACCTGTTAATCTAGCAAGGAATAAGCAGGTAACAACATTAAAATGATCCTGATTAGTATCTACAGTTAGAGCAACCACATTTGAAACCACTGTTTCAAATGCAATAAAACATTTATTTTGATTTAACAAATATAAAATTTGATTTACTTTATACTATTTTCCATTCAATTTAAAAGGAAAACCTCTTATGTTCAATAAACTCCATAAAATGGAGCAAGAACGTCATGCTTGTTTTATGCTAACTACATATTTTTCTAAGGCTACATTCAAATAAGACATAAGCTAAATTTAAATGTATTTTCAGTAACTTTATACTTCTTGTTGGGATAAAATGACACTTTTTATTAGTCATCTGACTTCATATTTGTTTTGGCTAACTTCTCAATGGTTCTTGGCTAACATCGAAGTGGCTAATTACAAAATATACAATTACTTAAATTCACACAAAAGGTAGCAAATGTTATAATTATTCACAACTAACATCATCTCTTGCTCTTCCCTATGTTCACCCTTTTTATAAGCAAACTGTTAGCAAAACTCTTTTAGGAGTAACGCCCTACTAGTTATGGCTACTGATGTACACCAGTACCAGCAAAGATGCATGGTCTGTTGATAACAGCCTGAGTGAAGAGAATGCAGAAAATAACCTGTTAAATATAACCAGTTAAAACACGGACTGGTGTGTCCATTGTCTTTCAGTCCATGTGGAATCTCTTGTGCTCTTATAGCTCAATGACATTTGTGCAGAGAAATGATGAATAGCCGCATCCAGCAATAATGTTTCTCTTCCTGAAAATATTTCTTTCGACTTCCTGATTCTAATCATTATTTGTTAACTGGATTGTGAAAGACAAAAAATATTTTCCACTTTGTGCTGAGAAATATTGAGTGATTAAGAACACACCCTGAAAAAATGCTACCTAATTATTATCAGCCTTACTTTGCCCATGTTTACCAACTGAGTGTTTTGCAAAAATCAATTTCAACTTGTGCTTATATTTAATAACAATGTATCAAGATTGTTACTGAAAAGAACAAACACTCATGTTGGTGATTTGTTTTTGCCTTTTAAGTAAATGGTGATGTGATTTACAAAACTAAATACAGTAGCTTCACTAGGTATTGGGTAGGAGTAGTAACTACTATGGTATTTGGGTTTTTAAATAAAATGTAAATAAAGTTGCTGGCAGATCTGTTGTTTGGCTGTTTGCTGAATGTAAACCACAGTTTCCCTGTGGTTTGGCACCGAGAAGACACAGTGAAACGGAAGAAAAAGACAGCTCCGTCTGAGAAGTGCAGTAAGCTGACGGATTCAATTAAATCTGCACACTGACCATCACTCACTCTGTCCAAGCTCACACTGCTGCTGAATAATCAAATTACATTACGGCCCCTGACACAGGTCTACACGATGACACCAACAACCTGCACTCCATCCTCTATGATGCATGCCATCATGGAACAGACCACGTCAGCACAATCTGCTCCCGGATGCTCACACTGTGAAGCAGCATTCACAGCCAGTCAGTGAACAGGCCAGATCTTTTCATAGAGTCAAAAAAATCATTTCACATTCACATAATCACATAATGTTCAAGTTTTTTTTACCCAAATTAATTTTACCCAAACAACGAGAAGAAAGTGAATTTTGGTCTTGTCTTCAGGCAAGTTGCCTTTGGGCAGTTAACACAGAATAATATTTTTCCAGCATCACATAGAGTCTCACAATTTACTACTTCCTTGTCCTGTCCAAGAAAGTTATCACATAAACCTGTCACCAAATCTCTGTGTAAGAACAGTAAGTCAGAGTATAATTTGCAGGGAGAGATTTTAACACTTCAGTTCTAGGGATTTCCTTGGTGCAACACTGGAGCCAACTTACAAAGTGATCCTGTGCCTTGTTTATCATCATGCAGTCAGTTTTACGACAGGCTGTTGTGATGACAACCACAACTTATCACTGGAATTCTGAGTGATCCCACTAAGCAGAGCGTGAAAGAACAAACACCTGGCCAAGCACCAGTTTTTTAAAGAAATGTGAAGAATAATAAAACATCCAGGTTTAGGCTAACAATCAACACTCCCTTAACAGAATCAATATTAGCTTTTAATGAAAGGTGTTAAAGTCTACCTGCTCATGTGATTTTTGCTTTTGTTCAAATAAAAATAACACGATGAGAAGTATTTTCTACACTTTGTTGCAAAGAACAAAGTCAAAAACAATATATTTTGTGTAGACTTTACCAGTTAGAGAAAAAGCAAAAAAAAGGCAAAGACGAAGACCTTTGCCTCCTTTCTTTCTTAATTACATTTTTCTTAAATACATTTTTGGAGGCACATATATCAAGACCATGTAAATAGAAAGTGCTGCTTGGACAAAATCAATGTTCTTTTGACTTATCTAATAAGATACAACATTGCAGTTTTTGGTATGTGTGTATTTTTTCTATGCATTCAATACATTTTCTCCGAGAACAACGTATGAGAGAGTTTCATCAAATTTAGTCAATGTAGCCATAATACCATCAAAAATTCTTGATGGTATTATGGTCTTGGAGGCTTGTCCTGGGTTCTGCGGCATAAAAAACATGGATGCTTTTTACTAAGTAGTAATTTATCAACTATAAGGGGTGTCCTGAATGAAACAGTCAATTCAAAGCTACTAACTGCAGCAGGATAAACAAATTTAATCACAATACAGTTGATCAATCTAAATTTAATAAAGTGATTCCCCATTTATGGAGTACAGTGCCACACGCTTTAAATCAGCGCCGTAAATAAGCTACAGCAGCTCTGTGGCTCAGGACTCTGAAATTAAATAGACTTCCTGGTTATAATTTCAAAATAGTGTCACAAGTTTATTGTCTCCCAACTAAGCCTGAACTGCAAAGATCAACCAATGAATGACAACTATGTTTCTCTTCAACTACAAGGCTGTGACAAAACACTGGAATATAAAGTGACTGCCTCTCACTCCGACTGTCTGGCAACCTGCCATGTGTACTGTAGCTCCTCAAGAAGATAAGGAAGTGAAGGAATGGGAGGATTGGCTCAGAGTAACATGGCCGTATTATCCCACATTTGCAGCTTGTTAAGTGACTTTTTTAAGAGTTTAGACACACTTTCATTGTAGTGTTGCCCTGTTAAAACTCCACACCAGCATTGTGACAGAGGTATTTTATTAAGACATGGAAAAGAACTGATATTCTATGTTTGCATAGACTTTCTGAGAGCAGTGACAGTACTTGGTAGCTTCTGTGCTGTACAGAAGAAGAGAGACGAAGGGGAAAAAAAGGGAGACTTGCATCTGCAACTTCTAAGACAGCCAAAGACTAAAGTAGTTTCTTTTTTCAGATCATGGCTATAAAAAATAAAAGTACAAAATAAACAAATCAAGGACATGAAGGATATAAATCACATTTTCTCCTGCCAACACAGGCATTACAAACAATAATACTGGGGATATGATGCTCAGACAAAATCGATAGCAGGAGATTTCTGAGAAAATATTTCCTAGCATCTACTTAATGTTAATGTCTACTTAAAGTTTAATTTCTTGCTGGGAAGAGACCAAAAAAAAACTCCAACTCTGTGGTAAACTGTCAAAAAAAGGGAACATAGTATATTTTGGCTCCACGTTCCCAGCTTCAAGCAGGATAAGTCTGCATAAATAAAAACTGCTCACAGTAGACAGCTGCCACACTGTGCCCATGTCTGCCTTGTATTTGCACAATGGTCCACTGTAATCATTAACGTTTGCAACAGGTCTTTACAGTCAAGACACTGGGAGTAAAGGTTTCATCATATACTGTAGACAGCCAGGGCCAGACGTCAGTGTGGTTCACAAGCACGTTCTCAAAGGAAGCAGGTATTTGAACGACGCTGCTTTCATTACAGGCAAATTAAACAGATATAACTGAGTTTGTGTTCATGATTAAGTTGCCCGTGCTGTGAACTCGTATCACACGAGTAAATATTGCAGGCAGTTTTAGCGGTTTAACTCACTTGATGAAGCACCGTGCCCCCTCAAAGGTAAATCCTTCTTCCCATCCTGTTGGTAAGTCTGGAACAAAACCAGAGAAGATTTTTAGGTTTATAAACACAGAACTGGAACAAATAGATGAGCAAATATAAATTCAAACATTATTAACAATTTTTGACTTAATTTAAGAACCTCAGCCAGCGGTGTACTTCCTAGTAGGCAAATTGTTAAAACAAAATATTAATGACAAGGAAGAGACTTAGAATTCTGTAAACCGTAGCTTGATGTCATTGATTTAGGTCCGCTCTCTCACAAGCAGCGTCCATCTATAAATGACTGGATGATATATAGTTACATGACAAAACAACAAACAGAAAGATGTGAGTCACAGAAAACATTTCTCTAAAGTTTCAGGCTTCAGAGTTAAAGGTAAAATAATGAAAATGCAAGTGAGACATAAACATCTGATAAGTGAAGATTGATTTTTGTCCCTTGGAGAAATTTTAACAATCCGGCAAATTGAAGTCATAAACATCTTTTATGGGTGGAAAATGACAAACACATCCTTAGCAATTGTGAGTTATACCTCAGTGTACTACAGAATATAATGTGAGTCATGCTGATGGTTGGGCTTTCCAAAATTGAATAAATAAAATTTAAATTAAAATGTATTGTTATACTAAGCCTTACTGCTTTTAGACCCGGCCCTTCTGAGATGTAGAAGTTACACTGTTACAGCAGCGGAAGAGTCTCTGCAGAGCTATTATGAGACAGCTACTGTATACAGTGGTACAGTACAGGCTTATTACAGTGAAAGAAGCTTATATTGATATTTGGCACACACGCTATTAAAGGCTGGAGCTTTGGAGCCTTCCGCAGGGCAATGTAGAAACAGACATTTAAAGTGTTGATGTATAAAGTTCCTTTCACCACATAGAAGATCGTTTTCCATAAAGAATTTTAGGCTTTCAATTGACTGACTTTAATATTCATTGATGGAATATACAGTTTCAAAAAAGGAGGGAGAGGGGGTGAAGTCACCGCTGTCAAGGAAGTGGTGCCTGATCTCCAGCCACAGACTCATGGCATGCTGCTGGAGGTGGGAAAGCTCACAGAATGTAGACAGTCACTGTCAATTTCTGTTGCAGTATCCCAGTGATCATTCTTTGCTCTACTGTGCGTAGGCTGAAGACCTGGCTGAGCAGCACCGCGACGCAGGAACGACTCAGCCACAAATCACAACTGGCCATTCTGTTATAATAATGAGTTCTGTCTAACTGAAAAAATGATAATAATAATAGCAAAACAGAAATTATGATGACCGGGTGGTTTACTCTTTTTTTTTTTTTTTGAATCAATTTTCTTTTTACAACCATATATTGGCTTTAATTAATCATTAAAATCATATTAAGAAAACAGTATATTCAGTACATCAGTGTAATCAGGGATCGTACGCCTTTAACAAGATCCTATTCAAGGACTTTAGCTCAGTCAAAAAGCTCTACTGCACACAATCAATGACTAAATTGTTAGAATCAGTTATTTTATTATCAGTTTTCTAACGTAAAATTCCAACTTGTGATACAATTTGTTGTGTAACGTGGCATTACACGACTATTACATGTGTATAATTAGAATTAACTGTTTAATTATCTGGCTATAACTACCTAGCAGCGCTTACAGTTTTGCAGTCAAAGACCTAACAGGGATGAAAACCAATGACCATAAGCAATGTTTTAAATAACAAGGTAAACAAATTGTGACTTTCATATATTTTTACTTTTGCTTTCTGAATATTTAGCAAAGGCATTTTATTACGTGTTCTTTCAGACAGATAGCAAACTGCAGTTGCAACTTTAAAAGAATATAATTCGTATCTGCATGGCTCATTAAAAACAATCACTTTTAAAGGTTATGCAAGTTTGTGTCGCAACAGCTTTTTCGGTTTGTGTCATATTCTGCACCCCTCCCTCCGCCTTCCACCACCCTCTACTCAACGAGTAAATAACTGACACCGCCTTTAAAAACAGTTCCTACGTCCCTGGAGTGGGAGAGGGTCTGCAGAAGCCGGATTACTTGTCACAAAGATCAATACTACCGTTTCCTACTCATTTAATGTAGATTGTTTCCTTACATGTGAATAAAAGACTCTTTGCCCAAATTGCTAAATTCACCCGAAGCTAGTTTTTGTTGGAAAAACATGTCGTAAACTATCGTCCAGTCGGGAACTTCGCTGACCGGCTGTTGAGGCTCAGAAGCCGGGCTGGGGTGGACAGGCGAGGGTTTACTTTTCACTGTGCAAGCGCCAAAAGCCCACTCTAACACCGCAAGGGTGTCACGGTTTCTCGCACACAGAGCGTGGGAAGTGTCGCCTTGGGGAGACGGATAACTACAACTACAACTGCACCGCACACAAAACTGTAGCTCGGTGACAGCTTACCTGGAGTTTTCCTGTGGCCGGTGATCACTGCCTCGGCGCTGACTGGATGCAGCCAGGTTGTACTCTTGGCTTCTTCGCTGTTGAGAGAAGGAAATGCGTTCGTTACTACACGGAGACCTGGCGTTCAAGCACGATCGCGTAAGCATGACTTCAGAGTGGGTTTATGGAGGTATATTTACTTAACAAAGAAGACCCGTCCATCTCGAGTAACACCGTAACTCCAAGAAGACGGAAGAGCAGAAATCCAGTGTGGCTGTGGCTCCGCCGCCATGTCTGGCAGTTTGTGTGACACTCACGCGCCTCCGCTCGCCCCAGCAGCGAGTACACGGAAACCCTGGCAACGGCAGATGGTGGAGAGGAGGGCAGAGCTCAGACAGATAGACAGGTACTATCTGTCTGTCTCTGACACGTTAACATAACACGTGAACAAACGGCCAAAATCTTCCAATAGTTACGTAAAACTTTGATGCGTTGGATATTTTCATTGCACCAACACTGGAGCTCCGTAGACTATGCATAGGAAAGACATAAACATCCGGTTGGAAACCATGGTTTGCATAGTGATCCCTATAGACACAACCCATATTTACATTTCCTAACTTCATGACATTAAAGTAATTTACACATATTAAATATATTTTACATATATATATATTTTATAACCCTCCTCTTCATGCAGTGATGATGGTAATGGATGTCTAGTATAGAAGAGTTTCCCAGTCTTCCTTGCACCATGGCACATTAGTTAGTTATTATTAAACTGGGATTTGTTTAGTTGAACACAACCCTGATATACCCACAGGAATTGAAGAAAGACACATAGGAGGTTCTCTCAGTTTTTATAGCCCCTTGATGCTACCTACTGGTAGTGTATTTAATTGTTCTGCCTGCTACTGTAGCATTGACAAAGACAAACTTATTTGCAGTAAATAAGTACTAATGTTCAGACCAATGAAATTGGAAAAGTCTTTCCACAGCAGACCTGATGATCTCTCACTGCACATTAGTGAGCCACCTAACAGTGGTTAGATGGCATTGGATGAACATGATGCATTGTTCAACATCTCAAGCCATTGTTAACATTTTACATTATTTTAAATTCACCTGCACCTGCAGAAAGATTTCTGCCTATACCTGTCATAACATATAAGTCAAATATACATATAACATAATGTTATAAAAGTTTGTTCCTTACATTTTATACCACGTAAAAAGATGCAAATTACACACTCAGAAAATAATCAGTTCTAACACAAAAGCATTCACTATTCGGTATGACACAGAATGCAATCACTTGCGGAAAAACATAGCTACTTCAATGGCTTTTATTTTCAGTTTTACAATTAGGAACAGAAATCAACTTTGAACATTTAACATGCACTGCTGCCAGAAATTGCAGAGCAAATCTTGAGTTAAAGTGGACCCTAGCATTATGTCGTTGTTTTGCTGTTGGCAATCAGGCTGACAACTTAATGTAAACGTTGTAAAGTTGGTTCAAAGTTGATTTTTGCAGAATAACAGCCACAACTTTCTGACCATTGGTCTAAGTTTGGTAAAGCCTTCAACATATTATGCCAGTGAAGGTGTCAGAGCATGTCAGAGGCAACTTGATAGCTGGTGGACTCGAACCAGCGAAGACAAATTATAGCTTCTAGTTTTTTAAAGTATCTTTAAGTATATTCTGTTATGTTATGTTTTCTCTATAAGTTTATCTGTCTGTCTGTTAAACTTTTTAAAAAATCTATAGGTCGTTTTGAATCCAATTAATTAATCCAATCTGTTACTGTCTGATTTAAATGTGGCTCTGGACTTGTATTTCTAAAGAAAAATACAGCTCTTTGTAGTCATCAAAGAACAGAGGTGGATTAACCAGCAGGGGGCCTGGGGCTAAATTCAGCTGGATCCCAGTGAGTTTTTTTATACAGACTCTAGATAGTAGGACCTGTCACTGCATGATAAGCTCAGATGTTATTGACTTTTTGAAAATTGATCTCTTTTTGATTCATTGTCTGAGGGCTGTCTTTTTGGGTGTCTGATCCACTCTGTTCTGATGTGACACCCAGATGTCCACGAAGCCCATAGTGAAGAGACGTTTCACTAAAGACAGTTTACAAAAACAAACTTACATTTGCAAGGATAAAAACATATTAATTTTAGGTATATCTAATGACACATTAGGACATATCATAGTAAAACTCCTTAAAAGTTGGTACAGGAAGCTTTTCTACGCAAACATAGTTCTGCAGTTATTGAGATTTAAATTTCTTATAAACATTTAATAAACAGCCGTTCATTGTGTGTCATGAATGTATATGTAATGAACAATGACTGTAATCAATAAGTGCTTGATTTAAACAACACTTATACTGACTATTACGGCCATCTTAGGTCTTACAAATGGGTTAAAAGCAGTAAGGAGCCAATTCTTTGTATCCACCAACCTTAGTTGAATTGAGAGGTGGTTGTCAAGTTGATGATGTGGTCTGTTGCATTTATGTACAGATAGAGCAGTTACTCAGACTTTGAGCACAACCTATACTTAATATGGTCACTGAGATAAATGATGGGCCATGTTGCTCAGTAGAAGCAACCTCAGACTGCAACATCAATTTTTCCCCTCTCTGTTTGTCCAATCTGTTTTTCTGCATATTTTTTTCTGACATCTATGTCATAAAAGTGAAGCCTGATCAAAACAATAATTAATTAGCAACCACTAGACCACTCTGTGGATCACATCACAAATTCAGCCTCTGGAGAAACCAGAGGCAGCACAACCAAATTTCACTTGCATATTCAGGTTCTCGTGCTCTACCTCCTGTCATTGTGAAAGTGCGGTGTAAGCCTTTCACACCTAACAAAGGCGAGTCATCCAACACCATTGTGCCTGTTTTTTTCTGACATTGTGTTCTGAACGTGTTAAAAGAAAGGTGGGGGGAGGGAAGACACACTTGCCAAATGTTAGGTCATTCTCTCAGGGGAGTCGCCCTCAAAGAAGAAACATAATGAGTGATGCTTTACCTGGGCAGATGTCACAGAGCCATTTGTTCTCCACTCACCCTCAGTTGCGGCTACACAACGCTCTGGTTTTGTGTCATGCAAAAAAAAGTTGCTTTTTTGCATGACAAAGTTGCTTTTCACCAAAGTTGTTAATACAGTGGTTTTTGAGAAGAGATGACATAATAATTTCAGCAAAGTGCAGCTTCCGCTGCCCATTTCATTAACCTCATATTGATTTGAGATGGGGAGCAGATGCTGTATTGCATAATGCATGAGTAAATAAAATCAACATTCTAACCTTCAAATTGAATCTGCTGATATTTTTTCCTTCAGATAATATAACTCTGAGCAGTTTTAAAGAAAATACTTCAATATTTTACACTTATGACCCAGCTTTTTATACTAAAAAAATCTAGTTTGATGATCGGTTCCAAAGTGGTGGACTAAAACCCATGTCCATGGGTCAAAAAAAAATTGTAAAATTTTAAAAAACAAAGCAACAACCTCATTTGTATTTGCATATTACCCATTCACAGTTTCGTATTCCTAATATCATAGCACAAGTTTAATGTAATATCATTTTTAAAAGTTATCTACAGTCACCATTTAGCTTTTTTGTTTGTTGTTGGTAAGTACAGTCGGTCTAAATAAGGAAGAAAACCTAATGCAGCACTGTCAGCCCTGCATTACTATTGCAAGTACATTCAAACAGTTCAAACCACAACCTTACTGGACAAACACAAAAGAAATGTGCTTCTCTCCATCAAATTAACTTAAATGTCAGGACAAAAAATGCAACATAATCTGCTCCCTTAAAGAAACCACTAAGCACGCCTAACTCAATAATGACAAACATCGTACACATGCCATTCACTCTGTTCCTGCAGTTTGAGGTCAGGCTTTGTATGTTCTGATTCAGCCGGTAACGTTGCAGTGCACTTGTAATAATAATTTTCCATTTCCTTTAACCGCAATTTCATTCACAATTTGAAGGATAGCATTTGAATCCAGATCACATCCGCACTTAATGTTGAATATGGAGTGTATGAGTTTATATCAATCCCAAAGTTTAAACTTCACATTTGTCAGCTCACCGTTGCTAGGGTGATGAGTCTGTCAAGGTATTGCAGCATACCACCAACACCTAAAAAGCCAATGCATTAACTTGAAGCGGGGAAAAAAACGTTGAGGTCATAAAGGGCACAGCAGAGACAGTGTGTTGTACTACAAATAATTAAAGCACCTAAATGAGTCATAGAGTGATAGGAAATTTAGATCAGTCAAAGGGTTGATTCTTTGACCTCTAAATATATAAGTATAGTGCATTATTATCTTTGAGAGATTGTATCTCCTGGGAACTGTCTAACACTTAGTTGAGATGCTTTTAACACTGCGCACTACATATAAGAAATTGACCTGGCAGAATTTCAAAGGAACTGAAATTGTGTACTTTGTACTACGTGTTTAAAGTCTACGTCCCCTATACACATAGAATAGAATAAAAACAAGATAACTTAAATAAGTTAATGTATCCAATTACTCCAGGTGTAACTCACAATGTAGTCCAAGTGGCACAGTTAGATCCACAGTCTGAACTGTAAAAACTTTAATAGAGATGTATTACTGAGTCCATACTGTATTGTGTCTGGTTTACATTGTTGAATGCATTCTTACAAAATGGCCCCACCCTCAGCAAAGTGACTGGTCTCTTCTTAACTACAAAGACCAGACTTGAGGCATCAGAAAGTAATTAATGGTTGAACATTATCAAGCAGTTGTTGAAGTGCTTTGTTCCAGTGCCAGCTCAGCAGTAGCCTTGTGCTAAGCTAGAGAAAGACTCTCATCTTTATACTGGAGCCACCCCGCATCTGTGCACACCTCTTATCTGCTGCATCAAAGTGGAGATTCAGCCATTTGAAGCCAGAACTTTGGATTTGGAATTTCTGTTATTAGTTACCGTAACTGTGGATAATTAATAACGATGCTTTAAAATTCCACCAAAGGGAAATGAGGTATAATGAGTTCAAATAAAATAATATTTATCCCACATGTACAGTAAAACATAATTGGGAGAAATCTACTCACAGGGCAACTTCCCATTACATTGCTTAATAATGTGAGCATGATGTCACGTGTGCCTCTCCAATTGCAACACAGCATCATTTGACTGGCATTCGCAGCCCACAAACCAGTACAGCTATTAAGTCCAGTCAAGTCAGCAGTGAGGGCAGTAGGAAAGATTGGGGAAATGTTATAACGCTTATTTCAGTTAAACTGCAGAAGCTTGCTGTGCTAGTAATGCAGATGGTAGGAATGTGTGTCAGTAAGCTTAAGAAATCTATGTGTGGGGGGAAAAACCCCCAGAAGGCAGTGGGTGGTGAAGTTCTCACAGTTCACCTTTGAATCATTAAACACGCTTCCCTGAATCACTCTTACTCACAGCCTCTTAAAGCCCAAATCCACAAGAGGTTCTCTGTTCACCACAGTCATGACCTCACTGGATCCAAACCATTTTTTTGGGTTCAGTCCAAATGTTTTTCTTTCCAACTTTT